TGTGTGTGTGTGTGTGTGTGTGTGTGTGTGTGTGTGTGTGGTTGGCAGACCTCCTGAAAGGACCGGGGGCCACATGGGAAGGGTTTGATTCAGTTGGGTGCCTAGAACTGAGTAATTAATTTCCTCAAAAAAGTATTTTGTGTATTTTATTTAAAGCAAATTTCAACATATTTAATTATTTCATAGCATTTTTACCCATTTTTCTCACATTTTCTAAGCCTTGGTTAACAAGGACATAGAATGTTTTTCTCCACCTGTCACTACAGTAGGAGCACAGAAACAGGTTGGCTATAATTTCTTCCTTGTAATCCTTATAGGGACATATGCTTCTTACAGTTTCAATGTTAGATGATCATATTAAGCATAGCGAAAGAAATCCCAGTGAGCCAAAAGGTCAGGGGTCAGACAGCACTAAACGCTTGGTTTCCAATGGGTTTTCTACTCTTGTGTGGAGTTGATGTCAGCTCAGAACGATTTTCCTTATATTTCTTATTTTAACATGGCTTAGGTTACCATGCCATACCACTTTATTTATAAAGCACTACAGTGCGGATCAAAGTGCTGCACAATAACAGCAAACATAAAAGACCAAAGGGTAAAAGTTACAGAACACACTGGGTCAAAGGCCATGGCGTAAAAATGTGTCTGTAAACAAGAGTTAAAAACAGCAAGTGAAGGAGACTGCCTGAAGTGCGATGGTAAATTGTTCCACATACATGGAGCCGCAGCTGTGAAAGCTCTATCGTCTTTGAGTTTGTGTTGCATCTTTGTAACAAGCGAAGTCGTCTGGTCTGCTAACCTGAGAGAACGAGACGGGATGTAAGGATGTAACAGCGCACACAGCTGAAACGGGGGGAACAACCACTTAGAAAATTAAAAACAAATAAAAGGATTTTAAAGTGGATTTGTAAAGGCTCTGGAAGCCAGTGTAGAGAAGCTAAAATTGGAGTGTTATTGGTTGCAGCGTTCTGCACCAGTTGTAGGAGGTGCAAAGGAGCGTGAAGTCAAGCTAATTCCTATGAAAAGTGCATTGCAGTAATCGAGATGAGACGTAATAAAAGCATGTATTAATGTTTCAAGGTTTGCATATGGACAGGAGAGGCTTGATTTGTGACAACAGCCTCAAGTGGAAAAGGCAGGAATTAGATACTGTGTTCCCACGAGGATCGAACTATAGAGAATAATTCATTTTCACACCTAAATTAGTGATAATGAATTTCTTATAGAAGGTCAAGAAGAAAATGTGACACAGGAGGTGCAGGTGGTGCCACTGGAACAACATAATTTCTGTCTTGCACTCATTAAAATTTGGAAAATTTAATCAATAAGCCTGTTATGCAAAGGCTGGACAGGACATGCACCAATGTGTTTCACTATAAAAATAAACTTGACAGTCATAACAGTTAAAGCAAATATTATGTGTCTGGAAAATAGTGCCAAGTGGGTACAAAGAGAAAGATGGAGGTCCAAAAATGGAGCCTTGTGGTACTTTTTTCAGACAGAGAATAAATGTTTTCTTTAAATGTGAAAGTGCTATAAATGAGCATAAAAGATTTAGTCCTAGTTGTCGTAGTGCCAGGATGCACTCGTTAAGGCTGCAATAAACACTCTCTGAGCACCTACTTTGTCAAAAACACATCAGAAGAGCAATTTGTAAATTTGCCTGCAGCACAGGCACAACAATTGCATGCTGATTTAATGAAGAAGCCAATCACAGTTGCAACAATGATCTTATTTTTTGTATAGGGTTTTTCTAAAAAGACCTATTTCAGAATAAAATGCTTGTGATACTCTGTTAGAAAACCTATGACATAATTGACTGTTCTGTCCTGTATACAAGAGCTATTCATTGTAAATAACTTATTTAAGTAATTTGATTATATTACACAAACTTTATCAAAATCAAGTTTTGATCTGGTGAAAATCTTCTATTCATTAAGTTTCTTAATGTCATGTTGCACAGTAATAGCTTCTTGCTTGTTTCATTTACTCTTCATCTTCCGTTCTTTTAGGGGTAGTCAGGGCTTCCAACATCTTCCCCATCCTTAGTGCCATCCTTCTGCTAATGGGAGGAGTTTGCATTGCTGCTAGTCGTTTCTATAAAAGCAAAAGGAATATTATCCTGGGGGCAGGGATCCTCTTCGTGGCTGCAGGTAAGTGAGGACCGTTTTACGTAACTCTGTATGTAGCTCAGTATCTGTGCTTGTGTGTACATGTCTTCATGTATTTATCTACACTGCTAAAAATTTTTTACAGGAACACGTTTTTATAGT